AAAGAGAGAAAGAGAGAGGGAGAGAGGAAGAGACAAAGAGATAAAGAGCTTGTTTGTGGTCAGGTGACGGCCTGCAGGCGTTGGTTCTCTCTTTCCATGTGGTTCCAGGGTGAAACTCAAGTTGCCAGTCTTGGCTGCAATCACTGCTGTGCACCGAGCCATCTCCTCAGCCCAGTCATGTGGGCTTTTTAAACATCTGTGTAATGTTAAATAAACATAAAAAGCCAGTTCTTGAATTAACTAAGAGTGAGGACTGGCTATAAAGGGGACAGGAATAAAATATTTTCTAGAACATTCTAAAATATCAGGGCCTATTAAGAAATTAAATGATCCCTGGAGAGCAGACAAGCAAGCAAGTAGAAAGAATAAATGAGTAGAACAGACATGGCCATTGCTCTCACAAAACTCGCTGTAGCTACGATGCTGGCACAAGGTCCAGCCAACGTTCTAGATGGCGGCTGACACGCATTGGAATCAGTGGTTACAAAATTAAAATGGAACAGAACGAAATGGGGAGGGGTACATGTTGACAGTGTCTGGAAGGAGTTGGAGGGAGCTGGGGTGGACACGATCAATATATACTGTATACATGTATGAAGTTGTCAAAATAAATAAATGGAACAGAGTGAACAATCCAGACATAAATTTATATTATCATAATGATTGCATTTTAAGCCCTTAAACATAGAATATATTTATGGTATTGAAATTGGACAAGCCCTTTTGAGTCCAAAGTGAAACCTAAAAATCACATGATCAATTATTTAAATACGTAACATTTAAACCAATTTATGAGTACTAAAAATACATGCATAAAACTGAAGCTATAAGCTTTACAGATGGGGAGAGAATATTTGTAGGACACATCACACAAATATCATGTACAGTGTGCATACAGAACACTGCATAACTGCAGGCGCAAACAACCTGATTAAAAAAATCAAAACACAAATAAATACATAAGGCCAAAATAAATGGTTGCTTAGGAAATAAAAGTAGATTGGGGTGGATGGAAAAGTTAGGATCTGGAAGGAGTTGACGGTGGGGAAACCATGGTCAGATTATATTGTATGAATAAAATCTATTTTAACTTAAAAAAAGTGTAAAAATAAAATAATAAAAACAAGTAAAACAAAAACGAAGGAGGAGGAGGAAGAAGAAGAAGAAGAAGTAGCAGCAGTAGTAGGTAATAGTAGTAGTAGTAAACCTTGACACAGGGTAGAACTACTTCCAGTCGGGGATTTTAACAATAACACTTTTTTTTTTTTTTTTGCTAACATTTTCACTCATGTAGATGGTGCATTCTGATCAGCCTCAGCTGCCATCGGCTCTCATTTCCCTCCCATCCCTAACCCCCCTGCCGCCCCTCCTATCCCCGCCTCCTTTCTCCTATGTGGCCTCACGCCCCACCCCCGTTCGTTCTCTTTATTATTTCCTCCTGTGAGCACTGAGTTCCAGCAAGGCTGTCCTTGTGACTGTGGGTTTGGAACTATTCCTTGGAGCACGGTGGGCTTCCCAAATACGCAAATGAGAACAGCAGTGACAAGATCTTTTTATATTTTGTGTTCTGCTCAGGTCCGGAGTGGATGGGGATACGAGAAAAGGAAACTCAGGTGCTTCGGGCTTGGGTTTTCACCTGTCTGTAGTGTGCCCTGCAGGCTGCCCACTGATTCCCTGGGTACCCTTGCTCTGTGTGGCCCACAGGTTTCCAGAAGGGTGGCACATGCTCAGTACAGGACCTCAGGCCTGCCTCCTGCAGGTAGTGATTGGTCAGAAGAAGCCAGGATGGACCAGAGTGGCCAGGAGATTTTTGCTGAAAGGCTTTGTTTTTTGTTTTTGTTTGTTTGTTTGAGGTTCATTTTTTGTTTGCTTTGATTTGTTTGTATGTGTGGATTTTCGAGACAGAGTTTCTCTGTATAACAGCCACTGCTGTCCTGGAACTTGCTTTGTAGACCACGCTGGCCTCGAACTCATGGAGATCCGCCTGCCTGTGCCTCTGCTGGGATTAAAGGCCTGCACCACCATGCCCAGCAAGTTCTTCATTCTTAAGGAGAATATGAAAATTCCAGACTTACTTTCACCCACAACATGGCCAAGCAATAGCATGGATCCCAGCCTGTTGAACGTCTCAAAGTCCCCCTGCCTGGCTTCATAGCGACATCACATGGTACTCTGGAGGCTGGGAACTCATGGTGTACCAAGTAGACAAACCCATCTGTGTAGGAAGTATCTGTGTGTAAGGAAGACGTGGAAAAGAACAAATGAGTAGAATTTCAGCATCAAAATAGCAAGCCCCACCCAGAAGGGCTCGTGTGAGCGTATCCATGACGATGGGGAGGGAGAACGCCACTCTGACACATGTAAGACACAGGAAGAGGGGAGGTGTGCAAAGTCCCAGAGCTGGGGCACGCCTGGCAAGTTCTAGTGTGTGAAAGACTGGGGAGAGAACAGGTGAATAAGGTCAGTTTGCAAAGATGACGGGGCTCAGCTGTGTAAGACCTTCTCCGTGTAGTCTAAAGTGATGCTCTGTTCTGAGTACATGAAAGGTCATGGGAGAATGTAGGAAGGGGCATGGTGCTGGCTCCATTAGATGACTCTCGTCACTGCGTTGTTGAGACTGTCCACATCATAGGCAGCCTTCAAAGTGGTCTCCAGCTCAGGAAGCTGAGCAGGGAGAAAGAGGCAGGTGGATTAAAGTCAATCAAGTAGGATGGTTGGGAATCCCTGTGTAGTAGGAAGCTGCAGGCTGTGTTCCTGCCGCCCCAGCTCCTGGTCGCCTAGCTAGCTTATGCCCCTAAATAACAACACACAAACTGTATTCTTTTAAACACTGTTTGGCCCATTATATCTAGCCTCTTCTCATCTAACTCTCGCACCTGGACTAGCCCATTTCTAATAATATGTGTAGCACCCCAAGGTGCGCTTACCGGGAAGATTCTAGCCTACGTCCATCCTGGGTCGGAGCTTCTTCACGTTTGCTCAGGAGAGGGGAGCATGGTGTCTGTCTGAGGCATCTTACCTCACTTCCTCTTCCTCCCAGCATTCTGTTCTGTTTACTCCACCCACCTATGTTCTAACCTATGAGGGCCAAGCAGTTTCTTTATTTTTTAACCAATGACCTTCCTCCATCATCCCTGGGCCCCCTCCCAGCACTGTATAAACTGGGCATGGGGGACCTTACCGTCATCTCAAAAATTAGGAAGCAGGTACAAGAGGATCAGGAGTTCAAGGTCATCCTTGGCAAAATAAAGAGCCAGCCTGGGCTACATGAGCCCCTGTCTCAACTAAGTAATTAAGATTTTTGAAAAAAACACCTCAAGTAAGTCCCTAATAAATGACGGCTATGGTTATTAGTCCCTTCATCATAGTAGTAAATAACAGTATTGCTGGTGATGGATGGAGAAGATAAGGGAGTAAAGGAGACCTGGGGTAGGGCATGCATGGACCCAGCACTTGAGAAACTGAGGCTTCAATTCCCTTGTGTGAAACATCATCACCTGAAACTGTTTCTCTCTCGCATGTCAGAATTGAGGGTTGCTGAGAGATTCTTGTTTTCTTCTGTTACCACAAACAATACCTGAAACCCAGAAATCGCCCCCAAAGGGCTTGTTAAATGCATCGCTCTTGCTGGTGAAAAGAGGCAGCGCAGCAAGTTAGCCAGCTGAAGAGGTCAGAGCTTCATTTGAGCCTGACTCTCACGGTTCCCAGCACTAGAACTTTCCAAGGGTGGGGTAACCTGGGCTCAGAAACGCCCAGCTCTGAGCAAAGTGTTAGCACAGTGTTAGGAAGCCGTGGTGATACTTGAGGGCTGGAATGAGAGAAAAAAAGCGGGTGGTGCTTCCCCTCCTTTTCTTTTTCCTAAATGGTTGCTCTTCAGTCTATTGAGAAAGTTACAATCGGTTAGGAAATGAGTTTGTTCTGTAATGAAAACCTTGAAGCCCAGAGATCCCACCCAGCCTGAAAACCTAGTCATCCCCCAGACAATATAAAGGAAAAAATGAAACATTTGAAAGGTGCCACCGTGTTGACCTCCCTCCCACTGCAAACTCCCTCTGTGTTTTTCAAGGTCTCTCCATTGAAAACTTGCCAATATGATTCCTTCAGGCAAAAAGTTAAGTATAATTGTAGCATTACTTTTAGAAATTTCATGGTAATAGGACTTTTTTATACAATTAGAAATAACCTTGAATCTCTTAGTCCTCTGTTTAATACGGACTTGCTACAGCATGAGATTGAAAGGTTAAGATCTGTCTCTCTACTGTACTTACCCTCTGTTCTTAGGCTGTTACAACACGGGGGTGATGGCTCCATCTCCTCTGTTCTTAGGCTGTTACTACACAGGGGTGATGGCTCCATCTCCTCTGTTCTTAGGCTGTTATTCCACGGGGGTGACAGCTCTAATGTTGTATAAAACTTCCGCAATAGCCATACAACTCACTATTTGTGTCATATAAAAAATGATATAAATAAATGACAATTTTTATCCAAAATAAGAGAACTAAGCTAGACATGATGGTCCCAGCACTCGGGAGTCTGAGTGATCATAGTATTGACACCAGCTAGAGTTACATAGCAAGGTCCTGTCTCTAAATAAACAAGGAACAGACAGACAGATAGATGGATGGATAGATAGATGGTAGATAGGTACAAAGATAGAAGATAGATAGATAGATAGATAGATGAATAAGAAGAAAAGCAAAGTTACTGTTATAGTGACTCCACTTTTATAAGTCCTCCAAGGTTTTTACTAACTAGAGTTGTAGATAGTTTTAGATGGCCAGAGATTATGAAACAAAATGATCCACAAAGCTTGGATTGGTTGTAGAGTGATTACTGAGGGACTCCTGTGAAGTATGTTCTGAATGTAAAGTATGTTCTGACTGTGAAAATGCTCTAACTGTGAAGTATGTACGTTTTGACTGTGAACTGTGTTTTGACTGTGAAGTGTGTTCTGACTGTGAAGTATGTTCCAACTGTGAAGTATGTTCTGGCTGTGGAATATGTTCTGGGAAGTATGTTCTGACTATGAAGTGTGTTCTGTCTGTGAAGTATGTTTTTACAGTGCAGTATGTTCTGACTGTGAAGTATGTTCTGACAGGGAAGTATGTTCTGACTGTGAAGTATGTTCTGACAGGGAAGTATGTTCTGACTGTGAAGTGTGTTCTGACTGTGAAGTGTGTTCCGACTGTGAAGTGTGTTCCAACTGTGAAGTGTGTTCTGACTGTGAAGTGTGTTCCGACTATGAAGAAGTGTGTTCTGACTGTGAAGTATGTTCTGACAGGGAAGTATGTTCTGACTGTGAAGTGTGTTCTGACTGTGAAGTGTGTTCCGACTGTGAAGAAGTGTGTTCTGACTGTGAAGTGTGTTCCGACTGTGAAGAAGTGTGTTCCGACTGTGAAGAAGTGTGTTCCGACTGTGAAGAAGTGTGTTCCGACTGTGAAGAAGTGTGTTCCGACTGTGAAGAAGTGTGTTCCGACTGTGAAGTGTGTTCTGACTGTGAAGAAGTGTGTTCCGACTGTGAAGTGTGTTCCGACTGTGAAGTGTTTTCCGACTGTGAAGTATGTCCAACTGTGAAGTGTATTCTGACTGTGAAGTATGTTCTGACTGTGAAGTGTGTTCCGACTGTGAAGAAGTGTGTTCCGACTGTGAAGAAGTGTGTTCCGACTGTGAAGAAGTGTGTTCCGACTGTGAAGAAGTGTGTTCCGACTGTGAAGAAGTGTGTTCCGACTGTGAAGAAGTGTGTTCCGACTGTGAAGAAGTGTGTTCCGACTGTGAAGAAGTGTGTTCCGACTGTGAAGAAGTGTGTTCCGACTGTGAAGAAGTGTGTTCCGACTGTGAAGTGTGTTCCGACTGTGAAGTGTGTTCTGACTGTGAAGTGTTTTCCGACTGTGAAGTATGTCCAACTGTGAAGTGTATTCTGACTGTGAAGTGTGTTCTGACTGTGAAGTGTGTTCTGACTGTGAAGTGTGCTCTGACTGTGAAGTGTGTTCCGACTGTGAAATGTGTTCCATCTGTGAAGTATGTTCCATCTGTGAAGTGTGTTCTGACTGTGAAGTGTGTTCCAACTGTGAAGTATGTCCAACTGTGAAGTGTATTCTGACTGTGAAGTGTGTTCCGACTATGAAGTATGTTCTGACTGTGAAGTGTGTTTTGACTATGAAGTGTGTTCTGACTGTGAAGTATGTTCCATCTGTGAAGTGTGTTCTGACTGTGAAGTGTGTTCCAACTGTGAAGTATGTTCTGACTGTGAAGTGTGTTCTGAAAGTTTGAGAACTATTATTTATTTGTATGTGCATGCTCACCTATACACATGAGTCACATGTGGGGATCAGAGACCAACTTTTGGGGAGTCCTAGGGATTTAATGATGCCACCAGGCTTAGTGGCAAGAGCCTGTACTTCTGAGCCATCTTGCTGACCCATGTACTATGTTCAAATCAGCACAATGCAGATGGCTATGCAAGGGAAGCATGCATCACTCTTAGGCAAGCACTGTATCTTACCTATGTTATCACCACTAAAATTTCTTTCTTTTTCTTCTTAGAGATGTTCTTACCATTTGATCTAGTAATCTCTAGAGAAGCCATCCAAAGGAAGGCGAATGCTCATAGGTGTTCATTGCAGTACCTGTGTTTATATCCACAGATGGAGGAGAGACCTGGCTAGTTAGTAATAGAGGGATAGTTCAGTAGGAATCTATCCACTTCTTATAAGAAAGTGTAATCATTAGATAAATGGTAGAACACACTGTTAAGACATGTCTTGCCGAACAGTTCAGTCCTAACCAATTTGGCTACTGACATGTTCATGGTACATATACACTGCCACAAGAGCTTAGGGGTGAGGCAAGATGGGAGCCACATGACATGTGGCAAAGGCTTTGGGGTTCCTAAGTTAATTACCAGTCCCACTTAAGTGAGCATCAGCTATGCTTTACCGCGCATTGCGACCAGCTATGTGATGCAGAGGCATTTCTTCATTGATGTGGCATCCTGCCACCCTCTTCAAGTCATCATGGAAATCCTCCCAGACAGTGTGAGCCATCCCTTCGTGTCAATGCGTCTCTCCGCTATAGAAACGTGTTTTCAGCTTGGCGGCCCTGGAATGCATCCCGTGTGTGAATGCAGTCTTTGTGTCCCAGAAGCGAACTCGTCAGTTTCTGTGCCGTGAAGGAGAAATGTTCGTCATCTAGGGCGCACACATGTAAGCCACTGCACTAGAATCAGCCCCCTTCAACAGCCCTGAGTACGCCTCTGTGTGGGACCTATCAATGTCCATTAATTGCAAGAAGAAGAGCCGAGATTCCAATGGCAAAATCTGTAAAAGTCGGTGTACAAAGAAAAAAGGAAGCATCTGTTCAATCCACACGGCATTAGAATTTAATTTTACCTCTGCACTGCTTTTGTGGGGCTGCAGCGCTGGAGCCGAGCGCATAAGCATGGCCATGCAGTGTCAGCAGGTGCATGCCACCAAATTACTGCTTTTCATTTGCATATTCATCTGCTAAGAAGCATGTCATTATCATATCAAAGGGATACTAAGCAACATCTAGCTAGGAGAGATGTGGCATAGCTTCAATAGGAGCAATCAATGCAAGATGAGGACTCTCTGTCATGTCTCCCAGGGCTTGCTGTAATCGGGCTGATTATTGGAGACCAATAAGACCAGGGCCCAGTTGGCACCAAACAGGGGAAGAACTGGAAAGAGGCTGCTTGTCCTCTCCGCTGTACACTTGACAGCAACAGGAAGCTCTGGTCACTCCAAAGAATGCTATTCGTATTACTCATGCGACAATGGCTTCCCATCTGTTTCTGTTGTCACCAAATGACCAAACGCTGCCTCTAAGTAGTTATGTGTTAAAAGAAAATGAATCCAGGCTCCCAAGAGCACATAGGAAGAATGGCAGTGTTAGAATTGCATTTACAAGTGTGTTGGCACTTAGGAAATTCCATTTGTACAAGCTCCATCCTCCTCCTTCACACACTGGATCACCTATAGAAGTCGGGTGGCATCGGACTCTTGGCATTGGACCCCTGCCAGTCCTTGATCTCATCTAATGCACAGTTGCACAGTGGTGTGTAAAGCACACAGAACTGGCATAACATTGACTTTCCAGTTGCTTGCCAGCTATAGGACAGTCATCACATGTAAAACTGCCCTCCCTTCTCAGGCTACCCAGTGGTGTCTTCAAGAACCAGCATTTCCAACTCGGCTCCGGCGGTATCACCTTTTCTATTCTCAGAGTAATACTCCCAGGCAAGGTACCATTTTGAACAACGTCTTAAATAGTTTAATGGCAGAAATCAAAACAAATCTTCCCATTGTCCTCTTCACTTTCAGTCTTATGTTGGATGCACTGGTTGTTTTAAAAAGCGGGAACTGGTGGCTTTTTTCCTAAAGGTCTTAGAATGAGGCACTGTGTGCATGTGCTTCCATTCACTTATTCAGCTAATCTCTTGGGACATTCATGGACCAAACGCTTCTATAGCACTGAGGATACGGCTGTGAGCAAACAGGTCAAGTGCAGCCCCTGAGTTCGTGCTGGCGCATGCACCGTTGTGTGTGTATTCTCCCCAAGCACACACCTACTGGGATGTCTGACCAGGGCAGCTATGTGATACCTTATTGTGCTGACACTGTCAATGAAAGGAACAGGAAGTTAACCTTGGAAAGTCCAGACCAATGAGTGAAAAGGTCTTCTGCAAGGTTGGAGGGCTGGAGACATGGCTCAAGGTGAAGAACAGTTGATGCTGTCATGGAGAACCTGGGTTTGGTTCCTAGCACCTACGTAGCAGCTCACAAATCCCCGTCACATAAAAATATAGGAAGCTTTGAAAACAAGAGATTTGTAAATGGGCTGTAGATTTGGAGCCAAATTTTCAAATAAGAGAGCATTTGAAATGACTGCTCAACCTTCTCAGCACGTGGAAACACCTTCCCAAACCGACCAAGGCAGGTCGGTTTGACTGTTCACTAATCAGCCACACCACAGCCTCCGGAGGACATGGTAGAAGACAAGTGAGACAGAACACAGCAGCCCCAGAAACGGAAACTCAATAGAATTCATGTTTTTGAGTAACTCTGTTAGGAAGCGGCCAGCTCAGAAAGACCCTCAGGATTTTCTGTTGCCAAATAAGCATTCTGCTCACAGTAGGGTCATTGCTACCCAGTGCCACCTTCCGATTGCCTTTTGCCTCTGAGCGTGACTATCAGAAGTTGGTGATTATGATTAGCCATTAAATCAATTTCCCCAATGTCTCTCCTTCACACTCTGTGCTGCGAGTTGAGGGTAAGATAAAATCATGGCAAACGGTCAGAAATGGACACAAACGCCACAAATGTCATTTCTTTGCCTATATTTCACTGCTCAGACTGATTTTCCCTCTACAAACACACACACACACACACAAAATGTTATCTTTGCTCCTAAGTTTTACTTTTGAGGTTTTATTATTGTTTGAGTTTCTATAGAAAAATAAAAAGTTGGCTTCGACTCATTACTAGGCCTATGCATTGGCAGTAACAAAGTCAAGTGATATTATGGTATTCAGAAGATGAAGAAAACAGTATTCTTTAAAAGAATTGACATGTTATGACATAACTCAAATAGCCAGAGATAATTTTTATGGCCATAAGTGGAAAAATAGCTATGATGTAATAATCATAATAAATAACCGGGTAAGGAAAAAGGAGAATTCATCATACAGCAGGTTTCTGTGTGAGAGGGGAAACACCAACAGAGGAAGATAAGATCATGCTGTCAGTGGCCGGTAAGTGCACGCGTGTGCTGATTTCAACTGCACAAGATCGGAGGAATGAGTGAGGGACTGCCCTTGCGTGCCTGTGCTAGGCTGGGTGTGAGGGATTGCCCTTGCGTGCCTGTGTTAGGCTAGACTCACTGATGTCACACGGGGATGAGAGATCCTCGACTAACTTAGCATGGAAGCCAAGAGAATATTGTCTAATTAAAACTAGCGGTACTAAGATGGCTCAACAGGCAAAGGTGCTTGGTACCCCCACCTACTGACCTGACCTCAATCCCCGGGGCCTACAAGGTGGAAGGGGAGCACAGACTCTCCCATGTTGTGAGCTCCACATGTATGCTCTGGTGTGTGGGGCTTAGGGTTAGGGTTAAGTAAACTGAAAATGGTAAAATGTAAAAACTAATCGGAAGCAAGATCTTCAGGAAGTCACCCAGAGAACATGGGTGGATGTAGAGGCGCTATGTGTGGCTATTTTAAAAGTAAGGAAATTTCAAGTTAGACTCTAGATTTCTTTATTGTCCTTCTTTGTGGGGACATCCGGGGGCACCACCCTGTGTTAGTAGCAACAGCTGTCAGAACTAAGTAGTTGATGCCCCATCAGGTTGGGTTTCTCTGCTTGGCCACAGTCACCACCAGCCCTATTGAGACTGTGGCACCTAGCCCAGGCACCTCCCTGAACCCCTTCATGGTTCTGAACTTTTCATCTCTGGCTTGCTGGGTGTTATTCTGAGCCACAGCCTCATCACCAAAACCCTAGAGCAGTGGTTCTCAACCTGTGGGTCACGACCCCTTTGTAGGTCACATGACCCTTTCATGGGGTTTGCCTAAGACTCTCAGAAAACACAGATATTTGCATTATGACTTACAACAGTAGCGAAATTACAGTTATGAAGTGATAATGAAAATAATTTCATGGCTGCAGTCTCCACAATTTGAGGGACTGTGTTAAAAGATTGCAGCATTAGGAAGGTTGAGAACCACTGGCCTAGGACATAGAATATGGTGAAATTACTGACCAGTAAGTTCCAGCTCTGGAAAGCAAGGATTATATACTCAGTTGTATGTGTGAGAGTCTGCATGTGTTCTGCACGGAGCTGTTGGCGACGGTGAGAATCAGGGATGTTGTCGGCGGGCATCCTCAAGCTT